GTTGCAAACGACCGGTCTTGATATGACTCATGTCCTGATACTGCAATGTCCATCCAATTAGTCGCCAGCTGTGCCACGCATTGAATTAACAATTATTAATCAAAGCTAATTCTTCTGTAATATAGGACAATTTAATTTATATTGTTTGTGTCACTTGTGCGACTCTACTGTTAGTTTTAAATTATTTAAATGAAAATCCAAGCAATGTGTTGTGACCTTATATAAATAGATAATACGCATTGTTCTCTTTTTTATGCAAAGTATTGAAACTGTAACTAAGCAGTTCATTTTGTACAAATTACCTATGAAACAAAATAATATATTTGTGATTTTTTTTCTGCCTTTTTTTTAGTTGTTGTCTTCTTTCTAGAATTTCCTTTTAGTCCATTATTTTTATGAAAGTATGAATAGTGTAAACGTACACTGTAGTTGGGCATTGCAAATTTAATGATGGAACTTTTTCTATATAAGAAACAGAGGTCTAAATGTTAACTAATTAAAAATATATATTTTATTTTCTTACACCTTAAAGGGATTCTATAGTGACAGGAATACAACGTTGTATTCCTAGCACTATAGCTCAGCTCTCTTCAAATTCAATTCCTGTTTCCACGATTGATACAATGTATATCTTTCAATGTGGTGTCAATAGCATCAGTAAACCAGGGCATACTGGGAACTTAAAATAATTCATGTATCATTCATCGTTAAATAACATACATAATTAAATAATGTATCATATCTTATAATAGGGCTTATAACCATACTGGTAGGCTTGGACATAAAAAAAACGTATTTATAATGTTATGTCATTGACTCATTTGCTGTTCTAGAATATAGTTATTGAACTTTTCAAATATCCACCCACCGTGGACTTTTACGCCCCTGTGTTCTCAGTAGGAGACCATGGACACTTATACAAAGGGTTTCTTGTCTATACTAAATCCTGGAATGTTCTGGAAAAAAGGTTAGTTCACACACATTGTGTATATGTAGTATAATATACACATTTCATACATGTGTGTTCGTTGTCACATATAGCTTGAGATTTATAAAAGTTTACATCCAAGGAGCCTGTTTTAACATGCAGCTAAAAAAAGACAGCGTGTTCTTTTTAAACAATGTTTACACTTTTTATATGTCGTTGTAAATAATAGCCTTTAGGATGTCAATGAGTGGGCTTTAGAATATGTTAATTGGGGCCATGTTAACTCATCGAGTTCCGCATGAATCAGTGCGATTTGGGTCCCCATCTCACCAAACAGAGAGTTAAAATTCAACTTGAATTTATTACTTACCTTCATTTAGCAGCCTCCAGGATCAATAGCAAGAGCTAGGCCCCATAAAGTAATCAAGAGCAGGGATTAATACTTGCCCATATCTAATTTCAGTTTCTTGCTTTTTGAAACAGGCTATTGCTACTGAATTTCTCCTAGGATTAACCACCCACTTATGAGAAAAAAATACTTCTCATCCCACGTCCGTTGCTATAGTGTAGTACAGTCATTCCCAATTCTCACCCATGACAAACAGAAAAGCTGACAATTAGATAATTGAAATCAGTGCACACCATTGGGAAGTAAAGGAGAGATGGCACTTGTCCAAATAAATCAACTGGGATCTATGTCCATTTGATTTAGCATGGTTTTGTATAAATTTAGATATGATGAAATATCACTGTGGCAAGCTGAGAATTTTTGTGTCTGTCACAAACAGGACAGCAAGCTCGTCTTTCTATTCATGCAAACATTATGTTACAAGATCATAGTATAAAAAGGTTTAATGTAAATCATTTCAGGAGGTGAAAATATATGCATTAGTGCTATACAGTGGAACCTCGGAACTCGTACGCTACCTTACCCGAACAATTCGGTAGCCAAACAAAAAATCTTTAGAACACAAACTCAGTACATGTCAGTACATGAACGATCCTCAGTACCCGAACAAATCATGCCACAAACATGTTCAATTATAAAGCTATGTATCACTTTAGACACATTTTAAATGCCAGAAGAACAGCTACTTATCCCCATCCAAACAATAATATCACTTCCTCTTTCCACTTACCCGTTCAGCTCTCAACATTACAGGTAAAGTGAAGTTACATTTTCTTTTCATTTACTGTACATTGTGTTTATTATTATTTTTCTAAATAATTTTATGCATGTAAGGTATTAATAAACTGTAATATTTGTGTTAAAAATGCTGTAATTTTTGGGGTCTGGAACGGATTAATCAAATTTACATTAATTCTTATGAGAAATGTTGATTCGGTTCTCAAACAAATCAGAACTCGAACAGCCTTCTGGAACGGATTAAGTTCAAGTTCCGAAGTTCCACTGTATTTTGTTGTTTTTATATGCAATATACAGATAGATAGATAGATAGACACAATACAATTTACAGAAGACAAGATAGCATTTTTGCAAAAATGTCTACATAGATTGGTAAACAATAATTGCAAGGTTGTGTACAAATGCTCAAATTAAAATATGATCATCAAAGACCCAAAGTAATAAATGCGAAATAATGAAGATAATTATGTCCCCAATTAAAGGTTCATAAACAAAGAAAGATCATAAAAAAATTTAAAAAATACCAGCAAAAATATTCTTTCAAATACAAAATAAACCCACAACATACCTAAAAACTATCAATATATTAAAGGAATACCATAGGCATGAAAACAACCTCTGTTAATGAAGCCATGTTGGTGTATAAATCATGCCCCTACAGTATCACTGCTCAATTTTCTGTTATTTAGGAGTTAAATCACTTTTGTTTCTGTCCATGAACCTCTAGAAACACTTACCCAGGCTGTGACTCATACAGCCTGCATGAAAAAAATTAAATTAAAATGTTTAATTTTCAATCAATTGTTCACTTGCTTTAGAATTTGTATCTTCTGCTCTGTAAATGTAACTTTAATCACACACAAGAGGCTCCTGCAGGGTTTAGCAGGCTATTAACAGAGCAGGAAATAAGACATAAATTAAATAAAATGTGCAATAATGGAAGCTAAACATTAGATCTCTCTTTCCAGGAAGTGTTTAGAACGGCTATGTAGATCACATGCAGGTGAGTCTAGGATTGTATGCAAAAGGGATTCAAACTCCTAAATAGCAGATAATTGAGCAGTGAGACTGCACGGGCATGATCTATACACCAAAACTGCTTCATTAAACTAAAGTTGTTTTGGGGACCATAGTGACCCTTTAAGCACAAAATAAATGGGTAGGGGTATGATTCTTTGTTGTTATATCCAAAAGATGCAAAGAGTTCAAGGTTTAAATCCAAAATTATTCATAGTCACAGTTTAAAAATTCCTGGGTCTGAATAACTCGGCAGGGATATTCTTCTACATACTCAGAGGCTCTATCTTATCAATCTCATCTATCTCTCTATCTAGTATTCTATCTATCCTATCTATCTGTCTGTCTGTCCATCCATCTATCTGTCTGTCTGTCCATCCATCTATCATACTATACACACTAATATAGTTTAATATTCTACTAGGATGCTCCAAGGGCTATTTATGGAGTGAGAGCAGAGTGTTCTCTCACTGCTGCAACTACCATCCTCATTATTATTATTATTATTTTAGAATTTATATAGCGCCATCAAATTCCGTAGCGCTGTATATGATCCAGAATCTAGAATATTAAACTATATTAGTGTGTATAGTATAATGGCCAGGGGAAAAAAAATCATTATTTTCAATTGCCATTATTATATTTCCACTAGTTTACAGCGAGCAGGCAAGTAATTTTGAGTCCTGTATAACATTGTGGCCATTCAAAAACACTTTCCATGCCAAACAGAGCTCTTGTTTCCCATAGCCACACTGTACACTGTACAGAGCTAACAAGCCTCTAGCTGCTCTCAGCACAAACCTCTGCGTCCATCCGGCATGTAACAAATCAGTGGATATTCCTCCACTCTTTGCTTTGGAACACCCACCGATTTCTTAGAAAAGACTAGTCTGTGAACTGTTTCATAAATGAGAGCGGATAAGATAAAAGGGGGAAAAAAGAACACTTCAAATGTTATGAATACAAAATGTCTAAATTTCACACCACAGGCCTTTCTTTTCTAAAAGGTCACACAGAGAAACACAAGTATCTATTTTAGATATTTTTTATCTGACTTTTCTTGGGCATTTTAATTTCCCAAGTTAAAGGTTTTTTTTAAACTTTTTTTAATTATTATTATTATTATTAAATGTCAATTTTTTAAAAAATTTTTATCGTGTATCCTTAACAAAAAAACAAAATAAAAACAAGACATTGTAGCTAATCCCACTGCGAGGAAATATGACTGGTATTCTGTAAATGCCCCACATCTCGTACAACATTATTCAGAACTGGAGAGAAAGTTCGTTATCTTTGGGTTTAGTTTCCTCTACTATAACAACCCTACACTTGTCATCACTGAATGAGACACAACTGAAGGATGTTAGGAGTGTGGACAGATTGTATCATGTTAGTTTGTTTAGTGGCACATTTCTCAACATTTAGAGGTTTGAATCATCTAATGCCAGAGTTAGTTGGCATGTTTTAGATAACATTCAATATTTATCAGACGATGAGTAATTTAATAGTGAAAGGGGTCAGTTGTATGATTTTCAAAGTTTTAAATTAGAAACAGTTTGTACGAATGAATTTGTAGGACAAAGACCAGACTTGATTATGATTTGCAAAATTGAAAGATATAAGGATTCGTGAAAGTCTTGCCCATAATAAGCATGACAATAGTTTCAACAACAACTCATAATATTGAAGAACAGTATACTGGTTTTATCTTGCTCCACATAGAAATGTATGCTATTATTTTACATTATTATTATTGTTGTGGTATCTTATTGTGATACATATAATAATATATCTGAACCAAAAGTGAGCTTAGTACAATCTGGATGTAAGAAAAAGCTCACTTTTGGTTCATTACTATAATTAGTGGGGATTAGTGATGTCCCGAACGGTTCGCCGAATGGTTCGCCGCGGACTCATCATTCCAGCCAATCAGCAGCAGACCCTCCCTCCCAGACCCTCACACCTCCTGGACAGCTCACTAAAAATGCAGCTTCAAAATGGATGCTGTCCAGGAGGTGGGAAGGTCAGGGAGGGAGGGTCTGCTGCTGATTGGCTGGAATGATGAGTCCGAGCAAACCGTTCGCGAACCGTTCAGGACATCACTAGTGGGGATAAGAGAGTATTAACTAAAGTGTGTAGCTGCTTATTTATTATTCACCTATATTTGCAAGCGCACTATGCACAGTAACCACCGATCTGTGTGTTTTGTATAATAATATATCTAGATACATTTAAAGGACTGGTCAATGTTGACCCAACACTTTGATTTTATTATTTGCAAAGAACTTAATGGTAACATATGGTCAGAGTTTATTAATTAAACATAAAGTTGCAGTGAATTGAAATCTGAATGGCAAAATGTATTAAACATTCCCCAACTCAGCTATAAATCCAAGTAATTTTCCCAAACTGAACACATGCATTGGGACCATAGCTTGGACTTATGTTTGTCTTCACATAGCTGGAGACAAAGGAGAGGGTTGGAGACTTATGTGCTATTGTGTAGTAATTACAGGATTTTTTTTTTAAAGATTTGTGATGTCTTTTTTGAGTCGAATGATTCAGGGATATTACTAGAATTTTTTAAATATATACTGATGATTCAGAGGTATGTATTTTACAAAGACAAAATACATTGAGATAAATAGCAAGTAAAGAAAAAACCTTATATTGGGATACTTGTTCAAAGGTGCGCGCTAATCTAATTTTATTTTATCGAATACATTTTTTTTAATGTTTTCCATATACATTCTTTAACTGCAATTTTTAGCAAAGCTTATTACCCGGCTCTCCTGTAGGATACCTTTGTTATTTGAAGATGTTCTTATCGAGATGTATGTCAGAGATTAAAGATTCTTGCTAATGATGTTAAAGTCTAATTAGCATTGAGCTGTTACATTTCACAGTGATCATTAATTCCTAGTTTCAGTCTAGATCTGAATTACCATAATGAAGTATTGCCCCACTGGAAATGTCAGATCCACGGGAAAAAAAAAGAAAAGAGGAACAAGAGTAAATCTTCTTTGTTCCCACTGACAGTAAATCAAGGTCCACTTAAAAGGTCTGCCAAAAACAATGTGTTTGCAAAATTGACAATAATTGAGCTTCCTAGTGCCTGCTTTGTTTAACACTTTGAGTAAGTAGAACATACAGTACGCAGTGCTAATGTCACAGATAAACAGTATTGCAATCTCAGTCAATATTTTAACAGTGGTTGATGCTTTGTATAAATCACATTTACATAATCCAGCTGTGTTCTCCTGTGTATGTCCCTGCAAAGCTTCATTTCTTTAGCACAATTTCTCCCATCTGTGAAATGTAAATCTGCCTTCTGGAGGGCTGAGGGGCAATGGGATCCAAAGTCACAACATCTGCCACACCAGCTAATTTAACAATAAGCCAGCTAGTCTCCTGGCAGATGTGATGCTCAGTCGATGTTATAGTGCCTGTTTTATTCATTCTACTTGATATTTTGGTATTTACTGTTAAAACAACAATAGCCAGTGAGCAGTACAACATAATAGCAGATTTAAAAAAAAAATAAAAAAAATAAAAAGCAGTATTATTTATTTTGATACAATTATGGATCATTTGCATTGACTTGCCTCAATTGGCCGGCTCTTTTCTTTGAGAGCAGTCTTCACTAGGGGCGTTCAAATTTTAACACAAAATACACAGTATTCTATGTTCTTTTTTAAAAAAAATATAAAATTCCAAGTTTGTTTCTATTAAAGGCAATACTATCATTCTAAATACAGATTTATATTGTTTATTATAGAACGTAGGCAGAAATGGCAATGGAAGTGAGTGTAAAGCTATTTCCAGTATCATATGGTACATATATTAAAGATCACTATCTCTTGACTTTCCTGTTTGTAATCCCTCCTGAATATCAAAATCTCTTTCCTTCCTTCCTAAATTCTACCTCCCAACGAGCTTCTTTTCCTCCTTTATACCTGAGATCAAATACTATACTTTCATCCTCTTGCTTCTATTACAAAATCTTACATATTTCGCCTGTCATTTAATTTTGTCCAAGGAAATTTCACAAACAATCAAATACAGATCACCAACTGGAATAGCAAATTAACTCTATTTTATTACATGAGAAAACATTTACGTTTAATGGGACAATATTATTGTTTATAGAAACTGAAACTGGTGGAGAACAAATATAAAAGAGCTGCATTAGGTATGATATTAAATATTCAATGAGGAGGCCCCCTTCTGGTGGAATTCTTCTTCAAATGAATATACCCTCCTTTGTGTTCTTCAGTATCCTTACTGAACTTCATTCTGAGGCCTATAGATTTGCACAACACAGAATAGCTACTGGAAACATATATACTTAGGTTGTTATTTTTTAAGATTAAAAGTGCTCCAAATCTCTTGATGTTTAATACTTTAGCATATGTATACATCCTGAATCCTAGTGCTAGAACATTGCCTACACCACATCTACAAGGACATTTTTTGGTTATTCTTGTCCCTATAATGGTAAGGGGACACTATAGTCACCAGAACAACTACAGCTTAATGCAGTTATTCTGGTGTGTACAGTCTGACCCTGCAAGCATTTTAATATAAACACTGCTTTTTCAGACGGTAACAAGAGGTGTTTCCTGGGTCAGTGCTGCCCAGTGTACATCACTGACGTTCAGCGTCTCCAAACTCTACATGGAGGTGCTAACGTTCCTCATAGAGATGCATTGGTTCCTGGTTAAATACTATTATTATTATTATTATTATTATCTCTATGAGTAGATGCTGATTGGCCAGTGCTGCATTTTGCGGTGCATACACAATAACCTCCCACTGCTTTCCTATGGTGAAAGCATTTAATTGGCTGAGTTTGTAAATTTTTATGATCTCAGCCAAGGATGTAGAGCGTGGAACCCGCAAGGTGCTGACAGGTGCTGACATCTCTTTCAAAGCCAATGGGCAGGTTATCAGGCTGCATATTCCCACACAATACAGATGTTTACTCTCTTAGCACAATATTCAAAAAAATATACAAACAATGATGCACATTCAATAGTATAGGCTACCCACCTTACCATAAATAATAACATTTGTAAAATTAGATAGCAAGAAAATTATACAATAATCAGGTTAGGTTAGATGAATATACCATATCATGCAACTGCCTGAATATCTGGTTCAGTTATTTTAGATGCCCATAAAAGCATGTATTTCTGCAATGAAGACACATCTAGTGTCAGAAAGAAACAGGCTTTATAACTTGAAACACCAATACTAATGTCTGGATTATAGTGTAGTAGGACTGTTGTATTTTGGTAGGGTCTAAAAATATCCCTTTATTTTACACAAGAAATTATTATTTTCACATAACGTTTCTGCATCCCTCTTACTTTATTATGTATTATACCCATAGTGTATTATAGGCAAAGAAGAAATTTGGTTAAATCATCCTACACAAGTTAGCAGACCTATTTTCAGTTACAATTATTTATATAGAACCAACATATCTCCCAGCATGGTACAATAGGAAACAAGACACATATTAAATTCTAACAAAACATGTATGACATACAGAAGCAGTAGGTGAAGAGGGCTCTGCCCAAATGAGCTTACAATCTAAAGAATAGAACCCCTCAATATACAATGGCTACACTGCAACTATGAATTAAAAAAAGGACATGAAAACAAGATTCCTTTCCTAGCGAAGTTTTTATGTACCTGAGAGTTAAGAACTATCAAACCACAAAACAAGTAATAGGACAGAACAAGACTACTGAGTTCTTAGGAAACCATAATCCCCTTAAGAGAATATCTCGATCACACATATTTTTGTCCGTCTCTGAAACTTTTGATAAAGAGCTCCCAATTAGAAAATGGGAACTTGATTTAAAAAATTTATTTGAAATAACATCTTAGAAACAGAGCATAAAGAGGCTAAATCAAATGGTATTTAGTTCCAACAAGATTAAACACACTCGTTTTACTGGCACTATAGGGTCTTTAGTCCCCCCAACCCTCATGACCTCCCACCCCCTTGGCTGAAGGGAGCTGAAGGGAGCTGAAGGGGTTAAACTCTTACCTTTCTCCGGCGTGGGGTTCCCTAGGCGCTGGGGAACTCTCCTCCCTCTCCCGACGTCAGCTTTGAATTTGCATGCGCGGCAAGAGCTGCGCGCGCATTCAATCAGTCCATAGGAAAGCATTTCTCAATGCTTCCCTATGGACGTCAACGTCTTCTCACTGTGACTTTCACTGTGAGAATCGCTGAAGCGCCTCTAACGGCTGTCAATGAGATAGCCACTAGAAGCTGGATTAACCCTATTGTAAACATAGCAGTTTCTCTGAAACTGCTATGTTTACAGCTGCAGGGTTAACCCTAGATGGACCTGGCACCCAGACCACTTCATTGAGCTGAAGTGGTCTGGGTGCCTATATGGGTACTTTAAACAAAATATATGATGACCAAAATGATTAATACTAGAGATGTAAAAACGCTAAAGGATCACATTTTCATATTTGGTGGGCATGCTCAGAGTTAAAAATATTTAAAAAGAACATTAAAGATCTTTTAATGGAGCTGACAGGGAAGGAGATCCCTCTGAACCCAGAGTTCCTTCTTCATTTAGATCCTCCTCAATGGGATAAACCCTTCTCCTTTCTTACAAACCATATTATGCTAGCAGCGAAAATTTGTATTGCAAGGAATTGGAAAAAGCAAAAGCCCCCAAATTGGTGGGAAATATTGAATCAAATAAATTACCAGTGCATTATGGAGAGGGGATTTTACCTAAAGAATAATCAGCTGAACCTATACGCTAAAATCTGGGACCAATGGGAAACATATAACGATACACGAATTGGGTAGTTATAACTGTTGACCATTAAGGAACGTTTAATTAGGGAGAATAGTAGACAGTGGAAACTACCCTCCCCTCCCCTTGTGTCAGAATGAATCAGTATGGTGTATGAATGTTTACTTGAATGTAAGTAGTGATTAGATAAATCTATATTTGAATATATTAAAAGTTAAAAAAAAAATTGTAAGAGGAATAGAAATTAAAACTTTTAGTAAATATGTAATGACGCATTGAG